GAGAGTGGCTCCGAAAGGGGACAATGCTGCTGCCTGGCTTCTGGAGGCTTGCCCAGCACTCTCCTTGTTTCTAGTCACTTCACCCACTTTGTGGATGCCACTGGCACTCTTCCAGCTGTAGCCCTGGTGATGAATCCCAGAGTGGGTGGGTTTGCATATGTTCTAAGTCCAGGTGGGCCCTTTAAGCCGAGTCTCCTGAAAATCTGGCAGTTTCTTCTGCTGCCTTAACCCCAACTAGTTTTTATAGAGAAAAGTTATGGGGACTTATCTTCCTGGTGCTGGAACCTTGGGCTGTGCAGACTGGGACTGGGATTGCTGGCTCCCAAGGTATCCCTCCCAATTTTAATCCACCATATGTGAGTATGGAACCACCATTCCACCACCACTGCAGCCCCTCCACACCATAGTGCAACTCTGCCCCTCCTTCCCATCTGGACAAATGTGGCTTCTTTAAATCCTTGGCTGTCAGACTTCCATACAGCTTAATTTTCTGACAGTTCTGGGTGTTATTTGTTTTGAGATATAGTTGTAATTCTCTCTGTGGTTGCATGAGGAGGCAAAGCATATCTACCTACACCTGCATCTTGACCAGAAGTCTTCAGAATCTGCATCTTAACAATATCATTTTAACATCTGATTCATTTGTACATTCATCCCCTTAGCAGCTGTCACTCAGGATTGCCAATTAAAAGTAAAATGACATGCAGAGCAAGCAGGGGATGGGGTAAAAGATGAGAATTTTACACAAGACTGCTGGAATTAAGAAAGGCATTATGTCCATCAGTTTACCACATCAGTAAGCAAGCAGTTTCTGACTATGTCCTACATGCTAGGCACCATGCTATCATTGGGGATGCAAAGATAATGTCTTTACTTGGTTATATAGAACTACAGCAGAAGCAATTTTAAGGTATTATGGGGTTTTCCTATGCTTGTAAGGGACAAAGGAGAGTTGACTGAGGAGCTTCTTTTTGAGGTAAATTGTAAAAATCATAGTAGGAAAACATCAGGAACCAGGTAGAAGTGAAAGGAATGTTTCTGACAGGAAGAACAGCTTTGACACATTCACACAATCATCAACTGTAACTGTAATAATTGCCCCTTTGCCCCTTCCTCTCTTAGAGAAGTTATCAATATATAGGTGGCCAACTGTCCTGGTTTGTCCAAGACATGAGTTTTAGTACTTAAGCTAGGAAAGTATCAGGTAAACTGGGATGAATTGGTCATCCTATTAAAGTGTCACATTCAAATCATAAGTCTCAAGTACAGGTTACATCATGAGACTGGAAAACAGAGCTGGGTCTGAGTCTTGGCTCCACTGCTCAACTGTTAACCTTGGGCAAGTAAATCTAAGCCTGCATTTTGTCATCTGTAAATGGGAATATCTGCCTCACTGGATTGCTTGAGAGGATTAAGCAAAGGGTAAAAACTCTCAGCACAGTGCCAAGTACAAAACTGATGTTTAATAAATGGTAGCTAATTATTACACCTATTTATAGGATATAAAACATAAGTTGATCCAGCTGATGTGGAATGACTGGAATAAGGAAGTAAGACAAGCAGCTGCCAAAGCTCTGGGGCAAATGAGTCTTGGGAAAGAGGTGCATGACACAATCAGGTAAACCTACTGAACATGAAGAGAGCAGCTTTTCTATCCTTGAGTGTTCAGGGCCCCTGGGATCCAGCCAGCCAGCCTTCGTGGAGCTGCTCTGCATGCTCAGCATTGTACTAAGTTCCAATGCAGGATTATTTTTTAAAAACACAACAAAAAGTTAACAGTCCCTATAGACACTAACAATGTGGCCAAGGAACGAATCATTAATTGAGTTCCCACTAGCCATTGGGCATTGTTTTGAATGATTAAGAGTTCAAAAGCATGGACAAGACTCTGATTATACAGGCAAGATACACAAATGCCTAGTAAGGTCAAGTTTCATGGGGATGGATAAGACTACACAGGCAGAGAGAAGGAAAGACATTCTGCTCTGGCAGCCAAATACAGAAATGCACGTGGCACATGTGAAGGCAGTGGAGAGAACTGTAGCAAGCAAGAGGTGCATGTCTGAAAGTTCCTTTTTAGTCTTTAGTCATTGAACATAGTTTAGTGCCTAGCGCATGCCAGATAATAAGGATTCAAGTAAATAAGACAGTTGAGTATCTACCCAGTGAAACTTAACCTAATGAGGATAAGACTGACAGGGAAGGGTGGGAATGAATAATGGAGAGCCTACAGAGGTTGGATTTTATCCTGAGAGCATTGTAGGGGAGGGAGCATCACCTTTTTAAGGAGACAAAAATAAAAGCACCTGTGCTTTACAGAGTCAAGCTGTGTCAAGGAAATTCCCAAGAGCGTGTGGAAGCCCTGTCCCTGATTGGTGGGCTCAAGCTCATGACTGCCAAGCTTCTCCCAAGCTTCCTAAACTGCTTCTCTGACGACTTCATGGCAGTTCGGCGGGCAGCCTGTTTAGCAGCAGGTGCCCTGCAGATCCGTAATACAATGGTGAGTCAAGGAAACATGATCCCGTCCTGATCAACCAGAAGAGGGCATTACCCCTGAGCTTCCCTTGATGTGCACAGTATACTCACCATTCTGTGGGGACACAGAATGAGAGATCAGAACCAGGACGGTGAGGGAGTATATAGGCCACATCAATCAGTCAGGACCACATTTATCTCCCAGCCGGGCCAGACTTCACCCTAGAGCACACCCTGAATCCTACTCTCACCTCAGCTATGGGCTTCAGGATTAACTCCTGTGAAGGGAGTTGTAATCCCATATTATTAAGGAAAAACCTGATGGAGGTCTTCAAAATAGGCCTGTATGACCATATGAGTCTGTCAGCTGAGAAAATCAACTTACAGATAGGAGATAATTCGGCTAACATATTATGTGTGGCAGGTTAGTACTTCAGGCTCTAGTTCATTTGTCACTAGAATTGACATGTCATTTTTCAGTTACACTACATTTTAGAGACAAGACAGGTCCCTGCCCCTGGTCATTCTTGCTCTGGTCTTCTCCACTCAACATTGCCTTTTATCCATCCCAGGTCATTAGATGCCTTCTGAATCTGATACAGACAGATCCTTACTGGAAAATCAAGGCCTTTGCCATTCGAGGTATGACAGAGTGGCCCCAGCTCCTCAACCTCAAACATCTTCCCATATGCTAGTACTGGACAAATGATACCTGGAATTCCTCTAGAAAGGGGGTGGAGTGTAGGGGAGGGGATGACCACCCTGGCTCAGAAGTTCCTTGCCTGAGAAGTTAAAGATTATTTTCTGTTTTGTAGTTTTTAGTTAAGGATTCTGAGTCTAGGTCAATGGTCAAAAACTGCTTAGTTTGTAATAATATAGCAGATGGCTGCCTACACATTATATAGTAAGACCATTTCTGAATGTTAGGATATATAGCTAGGTTAGTCTTAAATGAATGATAGTAGAACATGCTGCCCTTTCATCTATGCAGCTTTGGGACAGATTGGCCAAGTGAGTCCCCAGTTGACAGACCTCCTGCTCTGGGCTGTGCACTATGAATCATCACCAGGTGTCCGACTAGAAGCTTGCCGTAGTATCTTAGCCCTCAAACTTCAAGGGGACCAGGTCAGGGACACCCTCCTAGACGTGCTGCTCCTAGAAAACCATGATGCTGTTCTGAAGTAAGCACTAAACCTCTGGTCCCTCCCACTACCCCAACTCTCTCATCTTCGTTAATACAGTATGTCCCTGCCTGTTCAGGCTGCCTAATGACTGTAAAAGCTTGGACTCACCTGTGCCATTCACCTACTTACCCAAAAGGGTGACCGAAAACTATGGTAAGACTGAAAGTCAAGCTCATGTAGTTCATGCACCTATTCTCTAGCCCAAACGGTTTTAAGTTATTCATTTCTTCAACTAATATGTATCAGGTGCCTACCATGATGACAGGATTTAAGGTAAAAAATGTCTAGTGTTTGAATTCCACCCAGCTCAGGCCCTCACTAGCTACGTGAACCTGAGTACGTGACTTAGACTCTCCAAGCCCATTTTTTAAAATATATCAAATGCAGACAACAGTCTATCTTATGGGTTTGTGATGACAATTAACAAAGTGACATGCTTAGTACCTGTAATAAATTAGATGTTAAAATAAATGGTACCTATTAGTATCCTCAGATATATTATCTCAAAAACTATACAACATCCTAATAAGCTAAGCATTGTACCATTTGCAGATAAGGCTCAGCAAACCCTTATAAGTCAGGAGTGGAATTTAGGATTCTTGTCTGATTCAAAGTCTTGTACTTTCCACCCTCACGGTTTTGTTTTTTTTTTCTTTTTTAAAGATAGAAACAATCTAAGAAGTCCTTCTTATCTTTCAGGGAAGTTCACCAGGCAATGAAGATACTCAACTTAGAAAATGAGGGGAACGGAGAACTGCTTCAGGAGATCAAGAACAGGGTAGATAAGTGCAAGCTGTGTTTTCAAGAGAAAAAAATGCAGGCCTTTCAAGAGTGTTTCAGACCCTTTTTGCCCTCTAAGCATGTGTATAACCCTTCCCAATCACAGATATACTTTCTACAGTCCTAGACAAGGACACCATGCCATTTGAAGACAGAAAACATCTGTGCAAGACAGGATCATACAATCCTATTAGGAAAAAAAAATCCCATTAGTTCTTCAAGTAGCCCTCAAAATCAGGGTTTGTTGTTGTTTCTAAAATAGTTTCCTTCCCTTTGCATTTTCTCCGCACCATCTCCTAAACCAAAGTTCTCCTTTCCTTTTTGCAGACAGGCATAATGAAGGAATGTGGGACTGGAGCTGGCCTCCTAGGTTTTCTTTTTCCTACCAAACTTTCCTTAATTCCTAACCTGGGCTCTGTCATCAAAAGAATGAACACTCTTGCTGAACAAATGGTTCTAATTTTCAAAGGTGTTACAGGAGGTGAAGGAATAGAGGAAAAGGGATTTTTAAAATGTAAGATTCTTTCTTTATGTATAATTCAAAAAACCAACTTCACACAATTTCTCAGCAGATTCCTTTAATCATACCCAAAATGCTTAAGTAAACTTTTCATTAACAGGTGTAAAAATGTTCAACCAATATCACAAGAGGACAATGCTCTCAGGCATTCATGTACCACCTAATACTAATAAGCATGGTGCAATAAGTTACTTTATCAGTGTTTTGATGATTTGCAGCCTAATGTGGTTGTTTTTTTCCAACATCATTTGTTCTGATCCAGATTCAAACACTAAACCAAAAGGACTTGCTGACGCAGAAAATATTCAAGATTGAGACAGTCATAAAAAAAGTGAAGGCGGAAGCAAAACATATTTATTTGCAACCCAAAGAGGGGCAAAAACCACTGACACTCCATACTTTTCTTCAAGAAACTTTTCATGGTAGGTTTTCTAGGAGTGAGTCCAATGCTTTTAACAAGACTTGGGTTCTGGATGTTTTGGGACTTAGATGTGAGCCCTATAGGATGAGAGCCTGAAAAAGCTACCTCCTTCCTTCTTAGACATCTTCTCAGTCCTTCTGTTATTTTTTTCCTGACTTTATTTGCCTGTTTTATTCCTTTTAAAAAAATGAATGAGGGAGCTCTATTTGAACTGATCTGAAAGTTAGGTTAAAAAAAATGAATAAAACAAAACAAAAACTACTGTTAGGCACACCAAAAAAGCCTTGTATGCTTAACCTTTAATATGTTTTTCCGTTACCTCTGGAGAATGCAGTTACAGGGAGAGCTATCATTTTTACTTTATATACATCTATAGTTTTGCAACTTTTAAAGAAAGACTTTAGCCCCTTTGAAAAGCACACGTTGGCCTTTCGCTAATGACCCAGTGTGCCGTCAAGAAAGGGCAAAGTAAAAACACCGCTTTTGGGTGAAGTGGCAGCGTGTCATGTTGTCTCGCTTCAATCAGTGGTGTGACAAGGGGTTAGAAAAAGAAAGGAAAAAAAAAGAAAGACTTTATCAAGTTCTCAACCTTATATAACTGAACCGATCAGTTATGCTGACAGAATTTAAAAGTTCCAGATACAACCTAAATGATGAGGTGCAGACATCAAGCTGTACCAATATATACTTACAAAATCAGTGTGCCCATGTGTAGCAGCAGCCTCAGGTCATTCAGCCAGCTGCCTGCCAGCCACCACCCCAACCCAGGTCTTCTGGTTCCAAGTCCAGTGCTCTCTCTGGTACACCAGGCTCTTTTCCACCAACCATGAGAATATTTGCTTGCCCGATATGGGGAAGTTTCTTCCAACTACCAGAAAAAAATGAGAGTGGAAAGTAACTTGAACACCAGCCTTCCCTCATGGCCAGCTTGCTACACAGCTGAATTACTGAGGCCTAAGATAGCAAAAGTAGGAGACAGTGCCAGCCACTGATGTAAGCAGCACTTAGCAAAAGCATAACATACTCTTAAAAACATAATATATCATAACTTTTCTAATAGGATTGTTATTTGGGGTTCAAGAAGCATGATTAAAATGAACAAATTACTGCCAAATTTATAGAACTGGCCTCAAACAACCACCCACCCAAGTTACCTTTCACCTCAGCCCTTACAAATTTTCCCTATCTTCCTTCCCCTCCTCAAACCATGTCACATAATAATCTAGCCTTAGAAAAGGGAAATTCTTTGGCACTTTAATAACTTTTCTAACATTCACACAAACTCACAATAACAAACAGGACGCCAATCCCAACCGTCCCCCCAAACCGATGAACAAGAATTCAAATTAAGGATGCAAATGCTTCCAAATAAAATCTTCTAATGTCTCAAGCAGAGTGACACAGCAAGTGCTACACAGTACACTGAAGCCTGAGGATGAGGATTACTGCAAAATAATCAGATATTGGGTTACTTCTGTAGAAATAGCTCCCTTTTTCCTCCTGCAACCTCTGCTTTACTTTTGTGCCTAGATGAGGTGGTGGTTCCTAGGAGACCATCTGAGTTTTATGACATTGAATCAGTCATAAAGGTAAGTGTGAACGCACTGATGGTAATCAAGGTAAGAACATGAATTTTCCCCCCAAAAAAGGCGGTGGTGGTAAGAGAGAATCATCACTACTGCCTTGTTTCCAGGAATCAACAAGAAACTAGTTCAGGTAAGAGGCATCTTTGTGAGCAGCAGCCCCTTATCATATAACATAGTCGCCAAAGAAAGCTGGTCCTCCACACTGTCACAGGGCAAGTCCCCTACTCTCACAAACTCTGGGTAGGAGCGGAGCAAGAGTTCCATGGCATCGGCTTGCTGGGGGAATATCTCCAAGCACTTGGGCTCTTCCAGATGATAAACACGGGAGTTTTCCACTGTATAATAGAGATATAAATGGCCTCCTTCACCCACCAGCCGAGCTATCCCATCCTGAAGCATGTGCACTTCAGTTTCTGTTGTCAACTGGGCCCCCACGTTCACAGGTTCTCCAGCTTCCCAGCGAACTGGGAGCCCATAAACACTTAGGGCCCTCTCCCGATCAGTCAACACAGGAGGCAGAGAATCATGGATGAAGTCTTTGGCTCGCTGGTCAGCCACCGCATCGACAGGAGCAAAGTGTCCCAAGCGGGCAACCAAGACTCGCACCTTCTCCATGAAAGCAGTTCTTCGCGGATCCTTAGAATCCGAATGCTGGGCCCCCATGTAATCCATGAAGTCTCGGGGCAGCCCCCTACGAAACTCCACATTTTCTTCCATTGCAGCCTGAATTGCCAGAGGCAGTACGGCCTCTAGGAAGTCACCCCAGGTATTGCGCTGGTACGTGGACAAGGTGAGGTGCAGAGAATGCACTCCATCCTGGCATTCGGCTTGGTGAATGAAGCCCCGAGGAAAATAGAGCAAATCTCCAGGTTCCAGCACGGTCTGCAGCACTGGCTCACCAAGGTCGTCCTGGCTGAAGTTGGGGCTGGATGTCAGGGCCAGTTCCTCAGCTGGGACCCGGGGTCGGTAGACTCGCCAAAGTTTCCTACCTTCCAGCTGCAACACAAAAGCCTCGATGTCGTCGTAGTGGGGAGCAAAGCCCTGAGAGTTGGGGGGCGTGAGGTAAACGTTGGAGCCAGCCATACTTCCAAATTGCTCCTGGAGCACAGCCAAAAACTGCCACACGGTGGTCGAAAAAGCCTGCGGACAAAGAAGGCGCAGGGAGCAGCCAGCCTGGTACAGGGACCAAGCGGCGGCGGGCAGGGCGCGGCCGGGCGGATTCAAGGTTTCGCGCCGCCCGTTGACGTAGCGCGCGGCGTCCAGGTGCTGCCCGAACTGCACGTCCTCATTGCGAAGCATGGAGTCTAGGTCGGCAGTAGAGAAGAGACCCTGGTAGTACGCGTGGTCCTGCCGCCGCACCAGCACCGCCTCCCGCTCCCACAAGCGCCGGTAGAAATGATCGGGTGGCATAGGTGCAATGAGCCACTCGAAGAGGCGCGCCGCCCGCCGCCTGCTGCTCGGGATGCGGTTAAGCTCCGCCAAGACACGCTTTAACGGTGAGTCCCAGGCTAGCTCCCCGCCCTTGCTGTCCACCTGTGGCCCCGACAGCGTCGCTGGCGCCACAGACGGTGGGGCGGCCGACGAGTGCTGGGACGAGCACAGTAGGGCGGGCGTGTCCACCACGCTGCTCGGCGTGGCGGGTACCTCCCCAAAACGTGAGGGCGGCACCGAAGCCTGCACCAGGCGCACCGGCGGGGTTTGCCGGGAGCGGGCCGCGGGGGAGGCCTCCAGCAGGTCTGCAGGCCCGAGGTGGCCGTACGGCTCTCGCCGGACCGCATCCGGGGTGGTTGCCGGCCCACCAGGCAGCGGGTCCCTAGGATCGTCCTCAGTCGATTCCACCCTCGAGTCGTCGCTTGGCAGCGTCTGGGCCCTCAGCGCGGCCACGCGGGATGCAGCACTTCGCCTCAGCTGCCTTCGGATCTTCCTGGGCCTCAACGGCAGGACCAGCACCGACCCGCTATGTGACTGTGGCTGTCGCCGGCGTCGCAGCCGCCCGCGCCTCAGCAAGCCCCCACCACCCCGGGTCCCGTCCATAGTGGGACTCTTCTCAGAGCCCCACGGAGCAGGACAGGAAGTCCCAGGCCCGCAGCCGCCGCGAGGAACTTTGGGAAGGGGGCGGGCCTCTAGCGGCCGCGCGGGTTGGCCACGCCCACCATCCTCAGCACTGCGCCTTCCACTCACCCTTCAAGCAAACGGTACCTTAATTTTTGTTTCTTTTACAATTCCATGAAACGTCATCCGTATATTACATTGTGTTCGCTACCCCAAGTCAAGTCTCCTTCCCGTCACCATTTATCCTCCTTTTACCCTCCCCTGTTCCCCCACCCTCCTTTACCTCTGGTAATCACCCTGCTGTTTTCTGCGTCCTTGGCGTTTTTTGTTGTGGTTGGTTTTTTGCTTGACAATCCCTTCAACCTTCCCCACTCCCTTCTGATAGCTGTCAGGCAGTTTTCGGTCTCTATGAGCCTGTTTCTATTTTGTTAGTTCATTTTGTTCATTCGAGTCCACATATAAGTGGAATTATGTGGTACTTGTCTTTCTGTCTGGCTTATTTCACTTGGGAAAAACCGTACCTTAATTGAAATGCGTGGCTTTTCACACTAGAGCCGTGGAGAGGTTCTAAATTAGAGCCGTTAAATCTGCCAATTTAACGAGAATTTCATATGCAGAGGGCAATTAAAAAATCAACTTGCTGGGGACTTGTGGAGAAAGAAAATTGGCTACTTAACTCTTTATTCCTTCTAGTGTCTGCTTATTGCAGTGTGTCCCAGGACGTCCTCTTTTCTGAATAGCATGTTCCCCAGCAGTTTTGCACAGGGAAGTGCATAAATCTTATTTTCAAGAACGTCCCTCAGGCAAACTTCAAGATTTTGTTCAAACCTTGGGTCCCCCAGGTTCTCTTTACTCTGCAGATGGCATTATTATTTTTTTTGAGATTTTATTTATCTTTAGAGGGGAAGGGAAGGAGAGAGGGAGAGAAATATCAATCTATCAATGTGTGGTTGCCTCTCTTGCGTCCCCTGCTGAGAACTGGCCTGAAACCCAGGCATGTGCCCTGACTAGGAATGAAACCAAGATCCCTTGGTTCAAAGGGCTGCGCTCAACACTGAGCTATGCCAGCCAGGGTGCAGATGGAATTATTGATTAAACCCTATGTAAGTTCCTCCACCCAGCTTCTCTTTGTACTTTCTCTGTTACAAATTCTTACAGTCATTGCCTTCTCTGTGAAAAAGGACAATTTTTCCACTTGCATTCTTGTTATCTGCCCTTCTCACCACATCTAGAATTTTGTTTCATTACCTACAATTTCTGTCTCCAGAATCTTCAATCTCAACTCCGAATCTTACATCGAACTCTTAAATGTGCCTCTGTCATTTAGCAGGCACTGTAGTGGGCACAAGGGTGCAATTGTAAGAACAGCATAGTCGCTGTCCCCATGTAACTACTGTTGTTTTGAACATAAAAGATTACTTGTCATCATTTGAGTCATTAAATATAAATTCCTAGGAGTGGAATTGCTGAGTCAAAGGGCAATTTTTGTGATTATTAGTAGATTTTACCTAACTCCCTCCAAAAAGGTTTACTATATTATAAGCAATTATGAGTGGATTAGAGTACATGGCCTCCAGGACCTTTTCTGTGGTTCTGTTTGACCTTCCCTTCCTCAGTCACATTCCTAGCCAAACACTTGCCAGATCTTTTAGGTTTTATCCCTGCCCATGCACCATGGCCACTCTTCTCATTTCTCCCTGGTTTATTACAGTAGTCCTCACCTGAGGGTGATCTTGCCTCCAGAGGGCACGCTCTGCCGGGGGGGTGGGGGCAGGGGGGAGATGTTATGACATCTAGTGTAGCGATTTTCAACCTGTTTTCATCTCACAGCACACATAAACTAATTACTAAAATTCTGCGGTACTCCAAAAAATATAATTTTTGCTGATATGAAAAAAGTATAATTGTGATTCATTCACGCCAGACAGTTATTGTTGCGTTGGCTGTTGTCCTTTTTTAATTTGATAGTCTAAGGGAAAAGAGGTCAGTGCCCCTGACTAAATAATCAGATATTACATGTTTTAGAAATTCTCATAGCACACCGGTTGAAAATCACTGCTGTAGCAGGTAGACGCCAGAGATGCTACTAAATAGCCACAATGCAAAGGACAGTCCCTCCCCTCAACAGATAATTATTGGAACCAAAATACCCATAGTGCTGAGGCTAAGAAATTCCAGTTTATTATGTCCATCTAAGAATGTCAAACCTAAGGAAAATTCTTATGTGAAAGTTTATATATAAAGACTTGAGCCAAATTTTCAGTACATGCCTAGAAGCAAGACCTCAACAGACTGAGAAAATGCTCCGGAGAATGGCAGTTTTGTAGCTTATTTTATACATTAGAATCAAAGGAGGAGACCTAAGGAAGGTTACATGAAATCTGTTGGTGGTAAACTAAGGAGATGGAAGAAAGCAAATTGGGGAAATCTCTAGGAATGTATAAAAAACAAAATTCTTTTACATTAGAGGGTACAGGATAATTAATCATTGACATTTATAACACATAGAGATAGTATTTGGGGAACAAGTTAACAATGAGGGGTTCTTTGGTCTCCTGCTCTGGTATCAGCAGTTGTGTCTTCCAAGGGTAGGAAAAGAAAATTACTCTGACATATCAAAGGTGTGTTATCCTGGGTGCGTAAGAACAATGGACCAAGTTCACTTAAGGTGGATTGACCTTTGCTAAGAAAGCTATAGATAGACCCTGGACATGACATGTCCAGTTAGGAATTTGTGATCAGATCATTCTGTGGGGTTATGTTTGGTCACTGACCTTGTCAGGCCTGCCATGTGTCACCCCACCCCACTACTCGCTTGCCAAGTTTGTTATGTAACGTCTTTTCATTCACAATTACAAGTAACCTCCCAACTAGTCACTAATTTTAATCTCTCCCTAGCCAATTTATAACACAGGTAGCTACAACATTAATTTTCTCAAGTTGTAGCCCCAAAGGTGCCATCACCCTACTCAAAACCCACCTGTGTTCCCCATAGACCAGTCCAAGCCCTTCAGCTAGGTACTAAAGTCACATGGTGTTACAGCCTCATCAGCCACAACTCCGCTAAACATTACTTCTATAAGTTAGGCTATTTGCTGTTCCTTGCCTTTGTTCTTCTCCATATATTTCACCACACTGTTCCCCTAAATGCTGTCTCCCAATTATCTGTTGTCAAACCCCAACCAAAGTTCATTTCACATTCCTTCTCCTCCCCAAAGGCTCTCCCATCTCTAATCACAAGAGAACTTTGACCCTTTCGCATGAATTTAGCACATTGGGCCTGTTTTGGTGTATTATGTATCTGTTATATTTTTTCCTAAACTTTCTACACTGTACAATCCTTCAAGGAAAGGATTTCCTTATATCTTTTGCTCTTGCTTTTAGCACACTGCTTTTCACACCAAAGATGCACAGGAAATGTTTATTGGGAAACAGACCAGACAGGATTGAGTCCCTCTCACTCATTATATGTGGCATTAGCTCAGTCAGATTACTCTCTCAGGTCTCAGAAATCCCATCTATGAAATGAAAGTAAAAATTGAACTTCTGTGTAGGGTTGTTATAAGGATAAAATGCATTTAAGGCACTTAGCACAAGGTCTGATATGAAGTTAAACACTTAAAATGGTAATAATAATTTATTATTATGGAGCAAAGCCCTGTATGACCCATGTGATGACTGGGTGACACTGTTCTACTTTAAAGGAACTAGGAGTGGGGGAAGCAGAGAAGTTCTTGAATTGGACAGGACAACAGAATGGGATTACCCCGGGGTAGGGAGATTATTTTTACATATACCCCGTGAAAGTGGAGTCAGTGGGGACGATATCAGACAAGGCCATTGTGTGAGTCACGGCTCTACACAAAGTTACCTGGCCAAGAGCCAGAGTAGGGGCTGAAACCAACTGATGTTCTCCTCCAAGTCTGGGGCTGCAGTGTCTGGAGGAAGGGACAATGGATGGGAGGCCCTCTTCTTAATTGACACATAGGCTGTGTATATACTGGCAAGCCCCTGACATCAGATTCCCTGGGGAAATGCTGAAGAAGAAGGCTTGTCAAGTTTGTCAAAAGGAGCTTTAATTGCCTTTTCAAAGAGATTGGTTATCTACATAAAACAGACACATTCTGCAGTGAACGGGTGGGGGGGGGATGAGATGTGCTCTCGTCTACTTGCAGAGCTGAGGGACAGTCTGCTCAACTAGAGAAAGGCTGTACATTTGCCTTTTCCACACCCTGGACAAATATCTCCTCCTCCCAGTCTTTCCTGTGACCTCATCCCTTCTTTTTTTCAACATTTTGTGATTTCCTCGAAGAACATTGTTGCTAGCTGTCTGGTTTCCCTTGTGACTGGGAGGTACCTTTTGGAGCCTTACTTATCTTTAATTTCATCACTTTTCCTGTAGCTCTATTTAGTTCTCACTACAAAAACAGCTATTAATAACCATTTTCAGAAATATACTTTCAATTGAATGACATAGAATTATGTTCTTAATATATCATGAGTGGGAAAAACAGACAAAATAAGTAATACAGTAGGATCCCATTTGGGGAATATGTATTTTGTGTGTTGATGTGTATGTATATAGATATCCATTCATACATAGATCCATTCATGAAAGTTGGGGAGTCTTTCTAATGCAATATTTAACAGTGGCTATTTTTGGATGGTGGGATTCCAGGTGATTTTTATTTTCCTCTTCTTTGCTTATTTTTATGTTCTGGATTTTCTACGTTGAACATGTATCCCTTGTGCCATTAAAATATGGTGTTTTTTTAAACCACAAACTTCACTTTCCCTAACAGATCCCATTTTTCCTGATCTGTTATTGATTGCCTAGCTCCTCTGTTGTTTAATTAATATAATTCCCTTTAAAAAAATCAAAGGAACTTGACATTAAAATTATCACTGATCTTTTTGCTATGTCTATAGTTTTGCATTTTCCAAAATGTCATATGATTAAAATCATACATTATATAGTTTTTCAGACTGGCTCTTTCAATTAGCAATCAATACACACTTAAGGAGGTTCATCCATTTT